ATCCTTTGTGTGCTCTCTTGACGCGCATTCACAGGACGTGCCGCTACTGCTAAATTCTATACCGACAAGTTCTTCCATCTCTGTGCCCACATCCCCAAGTTCGATATCCTGTGCGAGCGGATCCTGCGATCCCCCGAAGACGTCTTCCTGTTCGCGAAATACGTATGTATTCGTAACTAGTGTGTCCGAGCCAGCCTCACCTTTTGCAGATGCAAGTTCACGCCGCGGCCGGCCGCACGACTGACATCTCCACGCTAAAATCTAGTTTCCATTCGTACTTCCCCTATGTAGTCATCTCAGGCTCCAACGACCTAGTTATCCCTCCGCCTGGGCCCGGACAACTCGCTGGTCTCAAGGCCCGAAACGGAGGATACTGCACTACAAGCACAGGACGCCTTATTGTCCCTATAGATGAGCGGTCGGCATTTGATCGTGATCCTACTCAGTGCGTCGTCTACTCCTCCCACTAAAGCCCTCTCTCGATACCGCACTGTAGGTACTGCAAGAAGAAGATAGTGCACCACAAGGACGTCGCAAACACCGTACGACACAAAAAACGCCACCAAGCCGATCGGCCCGAGCCTCGCGATGACAACAAGTCATACCCAAGCTATCTCTTCCCAACAGACCTCAAGTACGACAACACGCGTCCTCATCGCCATATCTTCAAAGGTGACTTCCTTATCGATGTACGTCTTCTGTTACGATCGAGCGCATATACTCACAATTGTCCTAGAATTATCGACACCTATTCCATGGAAAATCAGCGGTAGGGCGCGCTGACGGCTCTCGCGGCCTCGGGCGTGTCTGCATTAATGATATTTATGGGATTACAAACGTCACGCCCGACTATCTGACTTACGTCGCTACCCTGGCAGGTCTGCTCATGTTGTAAGGCTCCCTTGCTAACTACGTGCATGTTGCAGATCGGTCATCTTCTGAGCACGGAAGAGCGGTGGAGCGGCGATAACAAGCAGCGGACCGGGCATCACTTGCACACCGCCCTGCATCGCCTTCTCACAGTCGAGTACCAGGCGTGGCAAGAAGACGTGGAGCACGGTGACTTTAGGCAATCAGAGGACACGTTCGAGTGGAACGTATTTGCTTTCATCAACGAGTGTGTCCTTCACGCGCTCAATGTGTGTACCCGAGCTGATCTTTCACACAGCAAGGTATTCGGGGGTGAGGCCGGGGCACCCGACCAGCAGAATCCGGACGAATTTGGTGAAGACGAAGACAATGATGACACTGATATCCGTGCGCAGATGTTGAAAGCCCGTATGGCCGAACTCGAGGAACGTCGGGAGCGCCGCGCGAAAGGTCTTCGCGACGCGCCAGCAGAACCTGCGGAGACCCAAGTCCGGTCTCAGTCGCCATCGGTGGAGACCATTTCGAAGACCTCAGCCGTTGTGGACGTCACGGACGACGACTGGGATGAGCTTTTCGCTGGCGACCCCTCTTAGACGTCTTCCCCTCGCCTCTATTGTGCCACTCAGTGGAGCTCGACAAGCTCACGGATCTGGGCGACATGATTGCGGCAACCACCGATGTCGTCGTGGCTGAGTTCTTTGCGGCAACCACCGATGTCGTTGTGGCTGAATTCTTGCAAGCTGGCTTGTGCGCGGGCGGACATCTTGGGCGTCGCTTCGTATTTCTAATCTCTTGTTGGCATCGCTCATGTGTATCAATTGCCTGTGCCATAATATAATTCTCTGTCCGCGCATTTCCGGGAGTGCGAGCATTCGGACCGGCAAGCAGGCAAGTTCATGTGGTGTTCGTATATATGCTACACTGTCTCCTCTGACCGCCCAGCTCCGAAAATCCGGGGCACTGTCCAGAATACCCCACCGCGTCTACAAGTTATCACACTGTACTGCCCGGGCTTCTTGGTAGTCCCTCACCGCGCATTCCCGACAATGCCGGGCCTCATGAGATATTACGGCGCTCGATCGTCATCGTGGCGTGCTAGGGTGATACCCAAAATACCGGGCAATCCTTGCGATATATTCCCAGTATTGCCCGGTATTTCTCGACGTGGCCTTGTAGTACAACCCATCCAGTGTCCTTGCGCTGGAAGGAGATCCTGACAAGGTGCGGGCAATGTTTTTGACGTGTCGCACGGTATCCTCACGATTGCCCGAGCCAGCATGGGAGGGTAATGTACGACAAGACTTATACACTTTTGCTGATG